TATTTGCTTTATTATGAAATGGTTATATTTACATTATAGAGGGTTGGGCATGTAATTTGGACGGGTCTGATTTATGTTTTGTGGATATAAGGCAGCACGAGCGTAGGGGGTGGCTGTAACTATTACTATTTGCGTACCGAGAACCAACGGAGGTTTAATAGCCAACGTTTAGAACATTGTAATGAAATAATCTGGATTATTATTTACTGTTGTAGGAGGGGGTCACACACTCACACACATCTCTTCACTATACACATGGACGACGAGCACACAGGGGCTAGCGGTCTATTGGTGTTGTATAAGTATTGAAAATGAAATTAAGCTAAAATTATACTGGCTTACATCTCTCTGGCTGTTTCACGGGATAATCTATGTGCAATTTCAGGATTTAACAGCCCCTTGGTCCGTGATTGAAGTTCTAATTTTGAATGTTAGCCTAATATTTAATAAGAGGTGTGATAGGAGTTTTGTGATTGTATGGCTTGTTAGAAATGTTGGTTGAAATTCAGTTTTTGACTCTTGGTTTGTGTATATTTATTAATGCTGTCAGTTAGTTATAACGTGGTGAGGTATGTTGCTACTCTTATAGGTGGATATGAGAACACCCCCATTTTCTTGGTGAGTCTTGGAAATTTATTCGGAATTTATTTAAGTCTGTTAGAGTACACTTTACCATGGGTTGTACTTTTCATTGTCTTTCTTCAATATGTTTGAAACAATATAATTTGAATTTCTGGATACAAAATGGCATTAGGAGCACTTAGAAGCGAGCAGGGAGGGAAGATCGCTATATTTTATACGACAGATATCTTGGTCTTATTTGTACTAGCGCAGGAGTGATGGATCAAAACGTTTTTATTTATCATGTATCAGTTTATGCTCTTACTTTCAGTCTTTATTGTTGTGTGTTGCCTAGCGCGCGGTGGTGGCTTGTGCCAACACAAATGACTACACAAACTAAGAATTTAATTAGTCTTCTTTCATTAGTCCTTCCTCTGAAATATTAATCAACACGTATTGATTAACTAGAAATATAGGGATGTTATTTATCCTGAAAGTGAGTATGGTGTATGCTGGAGCATAGAGAAAGAGCACACGATTACCGAGTACATCTTAATTTCTGCAGTTATTAGGTGACTTCACACACAGGGTCGTTGTCCGTTGTGGTGGATTGAATCCTTTGATGTATTTTGGGCAACGATTTTGGTTTTCTAAGGCGACTCTACTATTTTTATTTGAGTCAAGATTATTCGTACTCTCACTCACACCACACAACACATTGGACACGCCACACACACACAAACACACACACGCTGAGGATTGGAAGTATTGATTTTTGTGTGTGAGGTAGGGGTGAATAACCTCAGTCACATGAGAGTCACTGCTGCAAGAAACCAAGACAGTGTCACTATGGAGGAGAATGAGGGGACAGCAACGACTTTGCATACAGAAATGTCTCGTCTTTTGAACGTGCAAATTCATCATTTTGATTCTAGAGGCCCAACAAGCACACTCAAAACCGAAAGTAACATTGCCATGGCATGTATTCGTTATGACACGCCTGTTTTTTCAGAAATGCCAACAGAACACAGAGATGGAAAAATGTCAACTTTTAAAATGCTTTTCTGTAAGGACGTAACAACACTGGGTGGCCAATCTGAAGATGGAGGAGCGGCTGATTATACTTGTCCAGGGATACCCCGAGTTTCTAATGAACACCGTAAACTGCATTTCATGCCAGATCTGACCATTATCGGGACCCAAACACAAATCAGACAACAGTAGGTTGTTTTCTTTCATAGAAGTGACTCGTAGTTTTCCAATGATGCTTTTCTGTGTTGAAACATCCTGTTGTGTTTATGAGTCAACATCCATGGTGACAACAACATGTACTTATGCATGCATGACACATACACACAGGTTACCAACATTGATTTACCTCTGCATGACAAATGCAACCTTTCAAAAACACACGCAGACCAAAACACAATGTAAACAGATGTATTTAGCCCTGCATGTCAAATAAATACTATAATCTCCATATCACACACACATAGAACAACATGCATTTATCTCTGCGGTCGCGACTACCAACACATCGCACTCTGATCAAGTGAGAGCAGAGTGGGAAACATCGACAGGTCAGCAAGAAGCCTTGAAATTATAGTTCACTGTAGGACATTTAATGAGGTTACACTCTTGATTCACAGATTTATTGGAAGTCAGATGTTTTGAGAGTCTCAGAGGGCTTATTCAAAAATTCCACCCCTTGTTTTGGTTAATTTCGGTTATTTTAGGTGATTATACACTAATGAACCCATACCATAATATTATATTCCATTTCTGCNNACACACTGGACCTTTAAGGGTTTTCCTGAATATTCCACACAGTTGACATCAAGGCAGGATTACCAACTGGGCAAAACCAGCAAATGCCCCGGGGCCAAGACCCACAGAGGCCCTAAGGCTCTAGGTTCACTGTGTATTAATTAGAGAAAACCTAGTATGGAGGTCTTTTAGAGGGTGCCTGTGTCAAAACCTAGTTTAAATACAAAAACAATCTGATTTGTATACAATTTAAATACATAAAACAAATGATGAAGGGTATTGTATTAACATCGGCATGAGCAACATGTTTTGCATTCAGTCGACATTTACTACCACAAACAGCTTATTATTTTTGAATGCTGTTTGTTGATCTTGTACCTTTTTAAAATTCTATATATAAATCCAGCAATTGGTTTGTGTGTTCTTCCATCTAGCAGCACTGCCATTACTGCAGTGGCAAGTTGTAATAGTAAAATCAGGTTTTAAATAATCCCCTGGCACATGAACATCTTGGTCCTCCGTATGTTCAGGTAATCTATGTAATGTGTATGGTCCAAAGTTGAAGTTAATTGCACAGCTTCTTCCTGACTTCCCCGGATTCTTGTCAAGACTGCTCAGACATTAGAAGAATCTCCTCAATAACTCAAAACTGGCTCATTCACTGTTGTGTGGTGTATTAAGCTAGTTTCCCTTTTTTGTGCATAATTCATGAGAACTATAAGTTATCAATTGGTTACAGTGATCTTATAGTTGGATGCTTTATTATTAGGAATGAAGGCTGCAGTCTTTACATTAATGTGATGGATTCAATTCAGACTTATGTTTGAGTCTTACAGGAATTTTGCAACATGTATTACATGAGGTTGACATGTATATCTGCTGCCACATTTACATAACAAGGTATGCATGTCGGTGAGGGTCTTTTGCCTCCAAGAATGGGCACCTATGTTGGAGGTGTAACACACACACAAAGTGCAGGTTGGTAAAGGTGTATTGTATATTTTTTTCTAGCTTGTGTATCTGAAAGTATAAAAACTCTTCAACACCAGGAGCTTTTTCAAATTTCTGCCTATTGAAGGGGGATTATCACACTCACGCAGCTCTGCAAGGAGTGTATTGACGACTGGTTGGGTGTATCAGGGACAAAGAGCCTCACAGCAAGTCAGCTGCATGGAAATACACCCTCTGTAATGCGTGCACGCACACACACACACA